AGGAAGAGGAACTACCGAGGCAAGTTCCGAAGAACAAAAACCAAAGTAGTAGCGGTAGCAGAGGGACAATAAAGCAACTGCCCGACGATGGGCTAGCAACTGCAGACTGGACGTTAGGAAAGGATCATCGATTAGCCGGATGGTCTTTCGTTGAACACGAGCAAGAAGGGAAAGGTTAGAAGACGAAGCCCCACCCCACACGTGACTACAGTATTCAAGAGCTGGGCGGATTTGAGCTTTGTACAACAGAAGATGAGCTAGGGTGAAAAAACGTCTGGCGCAAAATTGAAATCCAACATTGAGCGCAGCACGAGAAGCAATCTCAGCTATAAAAAGGGACCAGGATAAAGAAGAAGTTATAGGTAAGCCAAGAAGGGAAACAGAGACCGTGTAATGCAGTTGGATGGAATTGAACGTTAAATGGGGGAGAACGAAAGGTGCTTTAAAGAAAGTAAAAGAAGAAAGATTTTAAAACTATTGAATGAAACGTGGTTTGCAATACCTCAGGAGGGGACGTGTTCGAGATCGGAGTCCAGTGACACATAAACTGCACTGGCAGTATTCGGCCCACATGAAGATCGTGGAACGTTTATTTATAAAGATTACTGTACCATGATTTTTCTGACACACTGTCTGGCCTCAGACGAGTGTGAAAAAATATAAACATATACGCCACTCGAGCCTTGGAAATTCGGGCGGTTATCTCCTTTGATGCGCTACAGTCATTGATCACAACTAATTGCGTAGGAAAAACAATCCACTGTAAGTAATTCCTGGTTTGGGATACACCTCATCTTGCAGCATTGCTTTGCACTTTGATAGGGGGAAAGCACATACCAAATGAGGTAACAGCACTTACTCAGTTACAATTTGTAAAACCATTAACCATGCACTTTCGTGCGCCGGTTTTGGTTGCCGTCATTTGGCTACCCATTTGGATGAAGCAGTTGTCGGAAGACAGGAAAAATGAAGGTAGGGTCGAATAGAAAATGGAGAATTTCAGTGGACTAATGTTGCAAAGAAAATGCGAAGATGCACGAACTCCACTATGCACACCACTCAGCCACATTACTCAGTGCCTCTGACCATCGCTTACGATCATCCCGAGGTCCCCAGCCAGGGAGCCTAACGGGACCTATGTAACACAGTCTCCTGGTTAGGGTTTTTATACCCTCGTGCCAGGTCTTAGCTTGACCACCCTTGGATTTTTTCGACTCGGTGTCTGCTTCGGCGAACATCGATCGCCGTGGTAACCTACCTGGTGTCATGCGTAACACATGTCCCAAGCAATGTAATCTATGAAGGTCGACCACTTGCTCCAGTGGGCGACCGCATTTACCTAAAACTGCATCTAACCTCAGCATTGCTCATCCGGCTTCCCCACCAGATTCGTGCAATGCGCGTAGACAGCGGTGTTCGAACGTCGGCAGTCTATCTTTATCCTGTTTTCTCAACGGCCAAGTTTCTGCACCGTATAGCAGAACTGGCCAAACTATCGCGGCGTACACTCGACCCTTCACAGAAAGCCGAATGTCGCGACGGCGCCACAGATGTCTCAAGTTATCAAATGCCAACCGAGCCTTCTGTATGCCAGCTGACACTTCATCCGTGATGCGTGCAGAAATTGGTTCCTGCCAATTTTGTAAGAACAAGGCGTGGTTTGCATCCACAGTTGTTGACCAGTAAGAGCAGCAGTCTTGAATTGATCCCCTCCAGCGGTAACTGATGGCGATGTGGTCGATTTGGGTCCAGTGCAGTGAAGAGGTTGGCGGTTTCCATATAAGTCGATGGCGTTTCTTGTGCGAGAAGTTCGTGTTTGACAGGAACAATCCGTGGTCCGCTCAGAGTTGAAGTAGGCGATCTCCGTTGTCCGTCCGGTTGGCTGGGATTGCATGTGGTTCGCCAAGAAGCCTTTCTGATTCGTCCAGGGATCCCACTTGAGCATTGAAGTCTCCGGCGACTACTACGACGTCCGTTGATCGAGTACTTCGGAATAGTTGAGAAAGATCCTTGTAGAATTTATCCTTGATTTCAGGTGTACTGCAATCGGTCGGTGCATACACCGATTTGAAAGATAAGCATCGACGCTTCATTCTGTAGCTGTT